TGTAATATTTAGATATTATTTTTAAACTTTTTATTTAATGATTAATAAGATCAGTAAATTAATTGAAAATTAATAAGATTTGCATTGATTGATTTTCAAAAAATATGAATGAAAGATCTATTATGTGGACTTTTATCAATGTTATACTTGTTTTACATTTCAAACTATTTTAAATTTAATTCATAATTAATATCAATGATTTGGTAGCTCAATTTAAAAATGTTGATTAAATTTTTTTTTTAATGTAGTTCAATTTAGTTTATAGTTAATAATAGTTTAATTTAGTTGATATTATAGTTTAGTTCAAACTCCTAAAACTATAGTGCACTAAACTAGATAATAGTTTAGTTTAGTTTAACCAATATTTATTTTAGTTCAATTCAGTTTGGTGAACTATTTATTATAGTTCAATTTAGCAATTTGAACAACCATAATTTCAAAGGAAATACTAAACTAAATCCTTGTTTTAATAATATATATAGTAGAATTTATTATAATTTCATGTATAAAATCTATCTTCATTTTTTTTCTTCTCTTTTTTGGTAATGAAATCTATCCTCTATAGCCTAAATATTAAGTTATTTGTTATCGTTATGAAAAAAAATAATATCAAAAAGAACAAATAAGATAATAAGAAATAAGAAAAATTTAACTGGTGTATTATTTTTAGAAAAGAATTAACTTATTTATAAATACATATAATAACTGAATAATTATAAATAATAAAAAAAATAATAAATATAAATAATATTAATGTACATTGAATATGGATATTATATATGTAAAAAAAATTATTTTAATTTGTATAATATAATATTTTTTTACTATAATAATTGCCATATAAGTTAAAACATTTATATTATATATGTCTAGAAAATTATTATTAAAGTAATATTATAATTTTTTTACTAAAAAATAATATTATAATTTAAAATTTATTTTTATTTTATCAACATAAATTAATCTCATTACTTGTTATTAAATAATAAAATTATTGTGCATGTTTTAAATGAAAATGTGATTAATTCTATACTTATTTTACTTTGTTGAAAATTTTGTATATTCTACACATTTAATTTGTTAGTTAAACCTTTCAGTAATTTCTTCATAAAGTGATATAACATTTTCTAGTATATTCACTAATTTTTTTTTGATAATGTGATATTATTTAACTATAACATCTATGAAGTTATCACAGTTGTCATAATTTTGTAAAAATATCAAGAATTACAATAAAACATAATAATTAATACTCTCCTAGTCACATAACTTAAAATCACAATAATTGATGTATATTATTAACAATATTTATGTTTTAATAGTAATCAATTTCAAAGAATATGAAGAATTTGTGCAAATAACCAAATATGAAGAATATTTATGTTTATTATAATTTTATCGTAACTTTTTATTTTTCTAGAGGTAGATAGAATAATTAATTTTAAATAAAAAAAAATCCTCTCTGAAGCTATTTAAATTGCTTCAAAACATAGTTCACCTCAAATTGAAAGCCTTTATCATTTTTCAAGAAATGTTTAATTGCTAAAAAAAAATTCTTTTGCCTATAAATTGGAACTTATAGCATGGAAACTCATTAGAAAAAGAATCATAAAATTAATGTCATATATTTACAAACATGCTGCAAGATAAAGAAGAAAAAAAAAATATTGATTTGTGTCCTCACTCACCTTCCAAGTAAGTCAAAGAAGATAAAAAAAAAAAATAATCAGAAAAAATCTATATTTATTATTTGTATATAAACATATAAATGAAATATCTTCTTTGTTAACTGTTTTAAGTTTTCACTTTTATTAGGACTATTTTAGCTTCAAAACTTATATCATTACAAATTTTTTTTCCACACATTTAATCTCATGTCTTTTTCCTTTTTTATTTGCTCTTTAACTGCGTTACATATAACTGCGAACTTCATAATTGTTCTTATCTGAAACCATGGTTTTCAATTTTTATTTTCTTCTTTTTTCAGAGTGAATTTTCTATATCAAATTAAGGATAAAATTATTCAAACGTACTTATTATTTTCCTTTCACTTTATTGTTACCTTTTGATTATACCAATAATTAATTTAAAAAATCAAATGATCGTAACAAATAATAATTATAATTAAAAAATATTATTATTTTTTTATATGCAAAAA